GGGGTTGTTTGACCCCAGTACTCTTTCCTGCCGTGGCAGGGGGTCGGACTAGATGATCTACTTAGGTCCCTTCCGACCCTAGAAACTATGAAACTATTTCGGAACTTCAAGGACATTTGTATTCAGCTTCAAATTTGCTTTTGCAGTTTTGGTTCTGGGCTTGGAAGGAAAACCAGAATGGGGCCAGAACTGCTACCAGTCTGGATGTGGCCAAAATCATGACGTTCCTCTCTCAAAATGGCAGAAATCTTCCAAGATAGCAAAAATAGCACACAATAGCCAACAGTCTGGATGGTACAATTGTGATCTATTCAAAATGTGAAAGCAGTGTTGAATCCTAAACTCTAGCCATGGTTCGACCCCAAAACTAGACATGGAAAACAGTGTCTTAAACCTAATCTAGCTTCCCCTTCTCAGCTATGGTTGAGAGCATGTTACCTTCCAACCTCTAGGATGATCAGAAGAGTTTAGGTGACTTGAGAAGAATAAAACATCGAAGCTACTTAAACTTTTGTTATTTTCTTTTCTTTGTCATTAGTGATTTTTCTCTTCTTTTTTTTTCTCATCAGGTGGAAATTGAACAAAAAAAAAGCTTGGATACAAATCTAAAGGGAGAAGAAACTGAAAACTCCAGTGAATGCACTATTCAGTGAAGGGAAGACTCACCTGTGACATTCATGAGAGGAGCAGTAGTATCAACCCAGCTGAAAAGAACTACAGCACCTTGTTCCTGCTGCAAGTACAAGGCAGTACTTTTAAAATAGTGTGACATTATTTTGAGTTTTCTGCTCACTACAAGTCCTATTCTGAGAGGAAACTCCTTGATGGTTTGTTTAGAACAGCCAAGGGTCTTCAGTGGAATATTTTATATACCTTTGGTGTATGGATAAAAAGACTTACACTACATTCAAGCCTGCTGCCTTCTCTGCCTTGTCACTATTTAGCTTTCTGCACTGAAGTATGGTGTGCTAACAACCACAGCCAACATAGAAAGCAACTGTGTCCTCGCTTACAAGTCGTTTCCTCCAAGTTGAATATCTTCTTGTAAGCTGTTGGTCTGGTTATCAGTAAAGCTCTCTCTTGTTATCTGCAGAATACACATGAGGAGCAGCAAAGAGAAAGAGATACGGTCACTGTTTTTTTAAGTAATCAACAGAGGGAAGTTAGAGAACCCTGAACTTCAGTCTAGAGAATCAACAGTCCCTCCATCTAAAACAAAGGGAAGGCCAAGCACATGAACAACTGGTTGTCATCTTTCCACTCAACCAATCCACTAACCAGAACATTAAGGTGGATTTTCCTGTGGTCCTAACTAGCCATAAGAAAGACCCCTCTGCTCTCTATGGTTTTCACTTGCTGGTCAGGGTACTTCCTTTATCTTGACTTAATGTGATTATAGCTGCTATTACCAGAGATTGTGCAGAGCAACAGGGATGATATAGAAGGGGCATTACTACAAATAGATCATTCCTGCCTGGAAAGATATTTGAGGGAAATAAATTTTATTTTGATATTTCTTTGATGTTTAAGGGGACTAGCTGCTTTTTCATGCCCAGAACAAATCTTGCTTTAACATGAAGGATTTTGTGTTCCTGATACTCTGTGGAAAGCATAATGAAGAGTAAATGTTGTATTTTCCTGTTCTTGAGGTACACTTTTGCTTTCATGTTCCATCTGAAGTCTACAACACAACAAATCCATAAGCTACAGACAAAAGATGCCATTATCTCTATAAATTACACAAACAAACAGGTCCTAAAACTTTAGTTCTTCAGCTTTAAGAACACATTCCTCTGCCACACTGAACTAAAGATCAACTTTTTGCTGAAAGTAGTGGCAAGCTCGTCTTGTCTCCCTACACCAGGCTGTAAAAAACAAAATCACTCACTCAGACACATCTATCATTGAGTCATAAGATGTTCATAAGAACTAATTTTCACAATCGTGTGCATGACTTATTTGGTCTCTTTTTCAAAAATTAAATAAATAATAACCATAACTTATTCAACCATTTAGCTTTTTTAAAAGGACCCTGTTAACTTGCATATCATACATTACAAAAACTTAGCAGTGTGACTGACACACTACTTTAATTACATTTAGAGACTTTTAAACTTTTAAATTTATTTTCTGTTATTTGCATTTCACTCAAGACTGCATTAAGAATTAACTTTCACTTTTGATCCCTGGTTATTTCTATTCTGAGTCTCGTGAACAGTGTAGCAATGTTTAGGTTCCAAATAAAACATGGGATTATTTACATTCAGACAAAAACTGTTTTTATTAGCATTTTTTTAAAAATGTGGGAGCCTTTCAGATGCTCTTTTTATATACTTCTAAATGTTAGGTCTAGATTGTCTTGATGCTATCTGTTTTAAATTCAAAATTAAGGAAGAAAAACGCTTTTTTTTTATGCAGCTGTAAATATAGCATCTATGGCAAAAATACATTGCTAAAATTGACAAAGGGTCACAGTGCCATGAAGACCTGTACCTGGGCTTGGGATATTCCAGGGGTTCCCAAACTGTGGTACACATACCCCTGGGAGTATGCAAGACATCTCTAGGGGGTACATGGAAGAAATTGTCCAATGTTGGATTTAATTTTCATTATAATAATAATTGGCATTTAAGGGACTAAAATATAAAACTTGTGCTGGTAGGTGTATGTGGGCAGCTGGTAAATCTGGAAGGGGGTACGCAATAAGAAAAAGTTTGGGAAACTCTGGAATATTCTATTACAAGTGGTCCTACTGAAACCGAAACAACTCTGCTCCATTTCATTTGGTATTAAGTATTTGCATGGTCTGTCCATAATCAGGAACACTAATACCTCCTTTGTAAAGCAGTTTGAGACCTGTGGCTGAAAAGCATTGCTGAAGTGCTAAATCTGATTATTATGTATGAACTAGGGTTGCATAAAGTTAGAGGTGAATCTTCCAAACATCTTTTATGTCCAAGAGGGGGGAAGATTTGAAAGCTGAGGCCAGATCTGAATTTCATAATTAACTCTATGCTTCACAGCCAGATGGCACTCAGCTTGGATTTTGTGGCTTAGGCCCCTCCTCTAAGCAACATGAATTTGACTGCTCAAAGCTAACATTTTTCTGTGCTTCAGAGATACCCAGCTGGCTTTTTTCCCTTATTTCCTGTATTGTCTGCTGCCCCCAGAGACTGGTTTCTGAGAAGGAGCAGGAGAAGTAACAGTGCAGAAGTGAATGTGCTCTCAGGGTATTGCTGAAGAAGTGTCAGAGAGCTCCTGCGAAAGAGCCCAGTCTCACAAAATCTCTAGCCCAGATTTGCAGACCTCAGAGTTCTGCCTGCCCCATATCTGATGCTGAACTTTGGCATGCTTTGTCCTATCTTAAGTGACAGAGAGATAAATATAAGATATGATTAAGCAACCAGATTTGACAGTCCTGAAAAGGAGAGGAAATTCAAAAGAAATATAGTTTCTCATTTCTCTTTTAAGCAATTTACTATGTACAGTAATCCAACCCAGGACAATTTATCCCCAACAAATTGGGAGATGCAGACACTGGAGTTTTTTTTTTTCTGTTTCATTTCTCTGCCTCATTTTGTCTTTCTTTTTTTCTCTCCTCTCTCTCTCTGTCTCTAATTTTATTCAAAGTAAATTAAGGAAGTCAGGAGCCTAATGGAGTTAAAAGAGTGAAATCATAATTGGGTCCTGTAGTTGGGGAAAAATAATTTAATTCCTTTTTGAACTTCAGAGAGAATCTCTTTTATATTTTTCTGAGTTTATGCAGTCAGATTTGCTAGAATTAAGCACCAATAATCATGCCAGAGTTTGAAAAAGAACATATCTCACTTTGATCCCAGAATATGTCACTAGACTTTCAAAACAACTTTGGATACTGGACTCTTCTGAGAAGCTAGTCCTAAAGATCACAAGCAGGGCTGCCAGATGCTAAAACTTTTTTCAATCTAGTCCCAAATACTGGTGCTGAGCACTTGAAAACCTGGGTCCCAGTGCCTTTAAAGAGCTCCAGTTTCCTTGCATTATTGGCCACGTTGCCAGTCAGGCAGTATGTCTCATTCCTTCTGCCAGTGTGCAGTTCTGTATGGACTGTATTCTCCAGCTACTGGTGCTGACCACTTGCACCTACCAAGCATGCAATGGTAATTTTGATAACATTGATTGGATGGTAAAGGCAAGCAAGAGTTTCCTCACACCCAAGAACAGCAGAAAGTGCTTAGGCACAGCATCTTCATATCATGGGAGTAATTGTGCCATCTCTAGGAAAATAGACCTTTAAAAGTCTTCCATTTAACATGCCCTTTCTGTGTGATATGGTCTGTATGTACCCTTTGGCAAAAATATGCCTGCAAAGCAATTATACAGTTATATAATTAAGCTATTCCCAGTCTGACTGTCCTTCCCTCCCTATTCCTTTTCCTTGTTCAGTTCCATTTTTGTAGAATAGTAAGACTCAGACTGCAATAGGAATATCTTGGAGGGAAGATCCACATGTTTGGAAAAACAAATTGGATCAGAGTGATGGAAATTAAAGTCTCCATATAACTGAACTCCTCTTAATGACGCTCTCTGTACTGAATAACTCTGTCCTTTGTTATTACAATAGCCATAGGCCGCAGAACAGGGTGGGCCACTCGGGCCATGACCCAACCAACTTTTAGCATGTTAATTTAGCTAGCTATGCAGTTAAAAAAAATAGTTATACAGTTTTAACCAGAATGACAATTGCACATTTGTGGGTTATATAAATTAATGTGCTAAAAATTGGTCGGGCCGTGGCCCGGGTGGCCCACCCCATTCTGTGGCCTATGACAATAGCTGAAAGGTAAAGTAATCTGAAAAATGCTCCAACAGATTGATAATACTGTGTTTTCAAGTGCTTATATTCAGAATAAGCCTAATCAATCCTCATTAAGGACTGGGGAAATTAAAGTCTTATAATCATTTATAGTCATATGAGCAGAGCAGAGGTATCATGACATACCATATATTATGACAATGAGCTGGCTGGAACATTTACTTGCAGTCCAAGACCTAAAGGATCTATACATTCAATTGCCTTGCTAGCTGCTGACTGCCTCCTGATCACCTCACTACCTAGTTAATGGATCAATTTAATTAAAAATGGTCTTGAAGTTGAGAGGAGAAAGAGTCTGAGAACTAATATCCAGCTCTGAGGCCCAATTATTTTGCCAGTTGCTTACATGAAATGCCCATTCACTTCACTGGCCTTCCAGACACAAAACAATCAGGCCCCTAATCTATTAACTTAGTCCTAGGGGCTGGCAAATTCCAAACCTGCACCAGATGAAGGGACTTCATTTATTTGGGAGATTAATGGAAGCCACTGGTTATGAAGAAATGCATCCCGTCTTCTGTTACTTAGCTTGAAGTTCCCTTTTGACCCTTGAAGCTGTCTGGGATAACAGGACTTAAGTGTTCCTAACCTTTTTGCCTCATCCATCTATTCATCCACCCATACAATTCACTCTTTGCACTACTGTGAGTGACTGATTTGATTATTTTGTAATGTAGTCCTACATTTTCTCTTTTTTTTTTGTAAAATAAGAAAGTCTACACACTGGCTAACTGTAGAGGTGCTTTCATTTTGTTATGTTCTTTTTATTATAGCAGTTCTGGAGTGGGATGTCAT